TCTTTAACATTGTTATTGTTGTTGTCGTCGTTGTTATTCGACTTCATGATGTGTCTTGCCATGAAGCTTTTGTGTTTATATCCTGCCATTTTCTTCAGTCAAACCTAGAAAGATCTACAGGCAAACTATAGGAAATTTAGTTCAAATAACTATGTCCAAGCATCTCTTTGCCTCTGATTTTTTTTCTTTTGGGTTGAGCTGGGAATGCTTTTTCTTTGGTGAGGGTTAACTGGGAGAATTACTAGTAAGGGACTAGTGATGATGATATAGAGCTTAGATTTGGGATACTGTGTGTGTGTGTTTGAGAGAGAAAATGGCAGTGAGGGAGTGTGGTGGGAAGGTGTTGAGTACCGCGGGGGGAGGGGGGAGGGGGGGAGGGGGGTTGTACAGTGAGGTTGCAGCACAAAAGAGGCCATAAAATACTAAGCCAGAAGTAGAAGATTTTATTGGAGAGTATTTAGGAGAAAAACTCTATCTTCCATAACTTCCTTCATATGAGGAAGCTAATAGGTTTTCCAAAGTCATTTTTCTCTCTTCTCTCTATAGTAGAAAGTTTGAACTTTATGCCACATTTCATGTATATTTAAAAAACGAGAGCAGCCTATTGCATAAAGTATCTCACATTCATGGAGCGTTTGAGGAAGGGTTTCACCTCAGAGGGTATAATGTAGACAGTGGCGGATACAACTTTGGACATATGGGTGCTGAAGCACCCATTGGCTTTGGCCAAATTATATAATATATTCATAAATAATACCTAAAAACTTACTTCACTAATTGATCATGAGCACCCACTATGACCATGCTTGGCCATCTAGAATTTAAATTAAAATCAGTGAAGCACCCACGACCTATAAATCCTGGATCCGNATTTCTATTTGCTGATGACATTATTCTAATTGACGAGACAAGAGGCGGCGTCAACGAGAGGCTAGAGNCAACCTACCATAATGTAAGCAGTAATGGCTACATCTACGGCTCGAACCCGGGATGTGTAACTCACACAAAGCCCTATAATTTAATTATGTTAATTTATAAAAAACTTCCCAAAGTTTATGTTTTTTTTCTTCTTTTGTGGCGGCAATGGGAATTGGGAAAACATATTTTCATGTTTTATTTATTGTGTAAGTTGAAGTATACAAAATTAAGCTACTATTATTGGATTAGCTGTTAAAAAAAAGAGAAAGAGATGCCAACATTAAGCGTAAATTAGCTTTGAAGAGCGTAATGATAGATATGTGTACATACATATAATTCGAAGATTTTAAGCGTTTTACGGATACAAGTAATTAAGTTATATGCGTAAATAAATAGTATAAATAAGAAGGCGGCTTACCTAAGGTTAGTAGGGAGCACTGACGAGGAGGAGAAGAGAGAGAACAGTCAAAGGTATAAGGTAGCTAGGAAGGAGGCGAAGATGGCAGTGACGGAGTCAAAGGTATAAGAGAACAGTAAATAAATATGTGTAAATAAGAAGGCGGCTTACCTAAGGTTAGTAGGGAGCACTGACGAGGAGGAGAAGAGAGAGAACAGTCAAAGGTATAAGGTAGCTAGGAAGGAGGCGAAGATGGCAGTGACGGAGTCAAAGGTATAAGAGAACAGTAAATAAATATGTGTAAATAAGAAGGCGGCTTACCTAAGGTTAGTAGGGAGCACTGACGAGGAGGAGAAGAGAGAGAACAGTCAAAGGTATAAGGTAGCTAGGAAGGAGGCGAAGATGGCAGTGACGGAGGCTAAGACGACAGCTTTTGCTCGTCTGTATGAGGAACTAAGGAACAAAGGTGGGGAGAAGAAGTTATTCCGACTCGCTAAGGCGAGAGAGAGGACAACTCGGGATCTGGACCAAGTGAGGTGCATAAAAGATGATGACGGCAAAGTTTTGATGGGAGATGACCAGATTAAGAGGAGGTGGCAGACCTACTTTCATAAACTTCTAAGTGAAGAAGGGGATCAGGATATTATACTTGGGGAATCGAGGAATGCCGACAGTCACCATGAATTAAGTAATTGTCGGGACATTGAGATCGATGAAGTCATGGAGGCAATGCGTAAGATGAGAAGGGGCAGAGCTACCGGGCCAGANAACAGCCTCTCTACCCTTCGGGGTAGGGGTAAGGTCTGCGTATATATTACCCTCCCCAGACCCCACTTGTGAGATTATATTGGGTCGTTGTTGTTGTTGTTGTGTAAATAAATAGTATAATTTGTTTTGAAAATTTTAAAAAACAGGCTTTGCAAACTCAAATTTTCAAATATTTTGAGATAAACGTTACTAAAGTTTGTAGTATGGCCATGGTCCAAGCATAGAGAACCCATTTGAAAAGAAACTACGATTACAAAAACAAATTTAAAAAAAATATGCAGATATAGAAAAAGGAGTCAATATTTGAAACGAGTTATCAATACTCCTTTGTGTGATTTATATTTGTTCTTAGCTACTTGGAACTGAGTGCGTGTAATGATGAGTAATAAGAGTAGTAGTTGGTCAAGTCGCCTTTAGATTTACAATTCCAAAGAAACTATAGCTAGACTAACTGATGGAGTGAATTCAGCAAATATTTTGTTTCCATTTTATTAGTATGGAGAAAGGAGCATTGTTTCAGAACTACACGAACAATACAAAAGATTGTACCATGTTTAGCTTTAGATTTAGTGAGGGACTGGTGGCCAATTAGAGGCCTCCATTTACAGAGCCGAAATTGCAGTGAATGTGTTTTCAATATTTGGTTTGGTGCTAATGAATAATTACTATGTTTATGAGTGACAAAAAAGATGGAGAAGAAAGACATCCTCAATATACACTACTTTCCAACCCTCTACCCTCTCCTAAGACCCTATTAAACCTAAAAAGAGAAGAGCATATGTATATGCTTGTGGTTCAATCTTTAAATGCACAGTAGATTTCTTATTTACTCCGTTTCGACTATAACTTTTATAAACTGACATTATTAATTTTTTTACGTTGAGCCAGTTTGGCCAATATTCTAGTGAAAATGTGTCACGACCCAATTTAGGATCATGACCGGCGCTTAGGAACAAGTGCTCCCAAGTAAGCCTCATCGATAATTTACAGAAAATTGGATAGAGTTTCCCCTGATTTAGGACTATCCAAAAATAAACCTGTCATAAAAATCAACAACACAACCAACCGATATCGACCAAACAAGTTATAATCCTCATTCACAAAGTATTTTCAGCACAATAATATACTAACTTCATCTCCAAGTATACGGTAGGAAAGTCTAATACGAGTCACAAGTCTATATCAATAAAAGAATACTTATGACACTCATAAAAATTACTATGGAGCGACTCTAAGAGTTTCAAGAAAGAGACTATAACAAATAAATAACAATCTTTGCCCACGCGAATAAATGCGGGGCTAACCAGGAACTGTCAACTCGTGTACTATAATTAATGGAATCCTCGCCTGCGTCTACTGCTGTCTCTGTAAAAATAATAGCGGGAGTGAGTCGCTAGCTCAGTGAGTAATAACACTTAACCACAACCGTTTTTAACTGGGGACAAGTCAGAAAACATGCTTGTATAATAATAATCAGGAACTATCATAAAAATAAATTGTCCTTTCAAAAACGGTAATAATATTCAGTATCATCATATGTTTCATGTAACAGAAATTAATTTAACAATTTCATAATAAACTCGGTATACATTGTATCATATCAAATCTTTATGTTTGGGAGGTTTCCAGGAAAGGATCATGTAATCGGTATAACTATGGACCTCTTCGCAAGAAGTCAAATATAACGGTAGTCCCTACTCGAGGGAAATCACTAATTGTATGCTAGTTCTTGTGAGCATGTGATTTTTGCCCTATACGAAATACTCATATAAAATCCCAAGAAAATAGGTTTTCTATTAATTATTTGCCATTTTTAGGAATTTTTGTAGAATTTTCTTAATTATTTGTATTTTTGTACATGTTTAATTTTTATTTAAATCATGAAAAATACCAAAAATATCATGCATTATATTTATGGTTTGTTTTAATATTTTTAGAATTAATCAGCAATTATTTGTTTTATAGAAATTTGAAAATCACAAAAATAGCTCATTTTTACATTTTGTCATTTAATTTTTAGTTTACTGATTTTTTTTCTTTTAATTTAGAATTAAGTGATGTTTATAAGTTTTATAATTAGTTAATTTGACATTTTTAGATAATTTAGGATTTTTAGGATTTTTTTATTAAAAAAAGAGAGAAAAAAGAAAAACAAAAGAAAAAGGGAAATAAGGATTTATTTGTAATGGGGTTTTAAATTAAGTAAATTGGGTTGTTTAAATGCCAAATCCGTTCCCAAACCTTACCCAGATCCAGGCCCAAACCCAACTTTACCCGGTCCAACCCACTCCCAAACCAAACGACCCCGTTTCGTAATAATCTAATCACAGTCATTGGATTTTGATCATCCAACGGCTCGGAACTAAGGGTTCATTAAATATAAAACTGTTTGAAGAGAGACCCCCCNATTCCATTGCCGCCTCTGCCACAAACCGCTCGCCGAAAATCGCCTCACGGCGATTCCGGCACGCCAAATCTCCCCAAATTTACGCCCTAAAACCCCCCACAACCTCCTCATTCCAAATCTCCACTCCTCTTCCTTCGAATAATTGCCGAATTCTTCGAATCTTAAATCAAAAAATCACGGCCAAAACCCTAGTTGTTCCAAACCCCACCAAAATCACACCCCACAGTCCTCAACCTCCCCTCACCACTACCCTACCCTCAATTTCCCAAAAGGCCCTGCTTATTCTTTCGAATCTTGAACCTAAGATTCCCTGAACCCTAGATATTTTTCCCTTTCTGATTTTGATCTCTATTTGATTGGCTGAACCATAAACTTGCATTAGTCGACTGTTCCTTGTTGAGAACAATCGACTAATGTTAGTTCGAGTTCACGTTGCCTTGAGGAAGTTTGGTCAAAGGTCATAGCTAGTCTGTTCTGTTAAAAACAAGTATAGGTAATTCCTTCCATCTATTTTTCTTTTTCTTTCCCTTTTGAGAATCCCCTGTCATTTATTTTTCTTTTTTCCTATTTGTTTGTCTTTGCATGTTCATAGCTGCGTGTTTGGGTTTACAGTTTTAGGACTTCTTCTCTTTGACCACATGCTCATCTGATTATTTATTTTGGATTAGTTGTTTAATCAGAGATTATTTAAGCTTCTATTCCAAAATTGCATGAGTTAAGTCTAATTAGGGTTTTAATGAATTGATCACCATGATTCTGTTTAAACGTTCCCTTCTTCTAGCTCTGAAATTAGATTTTGTGTTTGATTGAGTTAACTAGCCTGTTTTGATTCATATGCCTGATTAATTTAGCTTCTAGGATTTCGTTATGGTTTCTGGTAAATGTTAGTTTGATTGCTGTGCTTAGCTAGGAAGAATAGTCTCTTATTAATAATTAGGCTGATTCAAGTTCAAATTACATTAGCTTTCTTACTTTCCATTTTTTTTATTAACATCTTTTGCATCTTTTGATTTGTTTCGAGTGTGTTTGGCTGATTTGAAAATCAATAGAAACTTTAGGGACCTTTTTTTTGAACTAAAAAGTTTAGTTTAAGGCTGAAATAAGCAGTAACTTGAAGGTTAAAAATGGGTTTCTACCTAGGCTAAAAATCAGAAATTTCCTAAAAAAGGTACAGCTGTCCTAGCTGTTACAAAAAGATGCTGAAATATAGGACAGTTGTACCAAGGATAGTACTATTTTTACCCTAGGATAAGGAATATGCCAAAAAGATACTCTCCCTAGGCAGCCTATATATGTAGGTTTCCCTCATTCTAAAAGGGAGAATAAATTAGCAATCACCAGCCTTATTCTCTGCACAAAGGTTCTCTTTCCAGATTTTACAAAAACCTTAGAAACATTTCAAAAGGAAAAACATTCCTCTTTTGTTCATAAGCTGGGAAAATGGTTTGAAATAGAGAGCCTTCTAAGGTAATTTACTGAGGGATTTCCTGGTTTTCAAATGCTTGTTCTTGGTTTTGAAACTCTGGGGTTTACTTGGTTACTGAAGCTGTGTTGATTCCTGTTGCTGTTTTTGTAATTCTGAAGCTTCTAGCAGCTATTTCCTTCAATTTAGCTGTTGTTATTTAGTTGTTGTTTCAAGGTATTCATGTTTCTTCCATGTTTCAGTGCATATAAATGCAACTTAAGATGAATGCAATTGATCTCTGTTGTTCACATATCTGTATGTTTGTTTGTCTGAAGCTGCAATCATTGTTGAATATCTTCCTTCCCAAATGAATGTTCTTTTGCCTCTTTGGTTCTATATCCTAAGAATCTGTTCTTTATGTAACTTTAACATTGATCATTCCTTTGCTTTAGCTAATGTGCATTTCTGTTTTTTTTTTTTTTTTGCATTAGTTAGATAGTATGTTTAAATCCCTGTTCTTGAAACTTGGTTGTTCATTGAGTCTGACCCTTACATGGTCAAATTCATGTCTTAAACCAACCCTTCCCTTCTCTTTAATCCATTCTAGCATTTCCCCAAGGCAGTAGGCCATGGTTTTGGGTTTGAACCTCATATTGGTTCATGAGTTTAACCTTTAACATGGTTTAACCCATGAATCACTATTGTTTCTCATTATATGTTTAAGTTTGGGTCTGACAATGTAGTAGGTTAGTATAGCTAAAGTTATTTTGTGAATCTGGCCTTTTCACATGGTCAGATCCATGAAATTCTTAGTAAAAATAGAAGCTGATTTGGCAGTAAGAAACTTCAGGTTGGGAGCTTAAGTAATCATCTTGTGAGAAGCATCTTTGTAGCTGGCCTCTTGCAGATCTTATGCACTGATTTTGAAGTAGTTGATGGAAGGAATTTTGAAACCAGAAGAAATTTTTTTTTTTTTTTTTTTTTTTTTTACTTTTCAGAATTTTCATTTTTAGATGCTAGTTATGATGGCTGTTAGGATATTGATTCATTAGGATTAAAATCTTTCTTGTATAAATTCTTGGACTCACAATATTGTAAACGGACTGTTAAGTTTCAAATTATGCTTGATTATCAGTAGACTTTCAATAAGAGATTTTCCTCTGTAATAAACATGTTTTGTAGTTGCATGTAAATGAAAATTGGGCCAGACTTGCGTCCAGGCCCAAGTTTGAGATTCATTCGAGCAAGTCTAGGCCCAGGCAAGTTGGCCTGGGCATTGAACCCAGTAAATCCGATTTTCAGTTTAAAAATTCGTCCATTTACAAATTTAGCATGATTGTGTGTCTTACAAGTCATGTTAGTATGTTAATTTCAAATTCAACATAGTATTGTCTCGATCTGGGTGATCTCTAGAAGCAAATTATGGTTTAAGAGCAAAACATGTTCTACGAAAAGTTAACTGAAAATGCAAAAGATAGATATGCCCAATTAGAAAACATAACAATTGGGCCCGCCTGATTTTGAGCCTACTTTGGGCTGTTTGGTTAAGACCCAGCGTGATGTCTTGAAGTCTTTTTGACTTCGGGGCTGGTTTGTGAGCCCAATTCCAACTGCTAAAGCTGGTTTGTTCAAAGAATTCTCACCAACCCAAAACACTCGCCTTAAATAATTCAAAAGAACTTAGCTTTAAGTTAAGGAAATCCTAGTTAAAGTTTCAATTAGGATCTTACCCTTATTTAAATAATCTCTTTTAGTTAAAATCAAAGTGAGGTGTGCCATAAAACCCTTTAACCCATGGCCCTCATGAAATTAATTCAAACCTTGTAAAAATTGAGGTGCGCCATCAATTAAACTCTCCATGGCCCTCATAAATGTTGTTAATTTAAACCTTCGTAGTTGCTTTAGGCGCGTTTTTTAATTAACTCAATCATAGCTACTGGTACGGTTCCCGTGACGTAGTTGTGATTTTTAATTACTAAATTCAGGTGTACATTTCATGTGACCCAAATTCAATCTCTCAAACAATGTTAAATAGAACGTGTCGCGAACCGCGGGTGCATTTCATGTAGCGTGGTTTAAGACGTGTTTCAAATAACATTGAATCTTCCTAAAAGCGGTTTAAAATAATTAAAAGCGGTTAATAAGTTTAAAAATGCACAATACGTTTTAAAACATGTATAATTCAGACAATAAGGCAATTATTAATAGTTTAAGCGACCGTGCTAGAACCACGGAACCCGAGAATGCCTTACATCTTCTCCCGGGTTAACAGAATTCCTTATCTAGAATTTCTGGTTCGCAGACTTTTAAATAAAGTCAAATTTCTTCGACTTGGAATTTAAAAATAAACTGGTGACTTGGAATACCAAATAAACTATTCTAAGTGGCGACTCTGAAATAATTCCATTTCGAATAATGTCACTTTGATTGGAAAAACTCTCTTATAATACCCTCGGGTGGGTAAAAAGGAGGTGTGACAGTTCTACCTTCCCACTAGCGGGGGCTATAACTGTAATCGGTAATCTGTCAATACAAGGTGCACCAGGTCTAACGAACCCACCGTTAGCTATGAGATCCTTCAAAGTCTCCTCCCATTTATACTTTTCTTTATAAACAATACATATTCATATGAAAAGTATTTTCAAAATAGTATAGAGTATTTCAATTCTTATCAAATCATGTAATCTCATTCCGGTAACGGTAATCATATCTCAAGTAACAGTAAAATATGTGTAGTAACAGTGAGAATATTTTAAATAACTAAAAACATCTCAAATAAACTGTTTAGTACCATATCTAGCAACGGTAAAAATATCTAGTAACAATGAGAATATTTAAACAACAGTAATCATCTCATATAACTATTTCGATATCATATAGAGTAAAGGACTTGTCCCACATGCAAATTCAAAACAATCGGTAATATGTTCATATTAAAATCATGTGTAAATCATGCAAGTTATAGAAACACAAATTGTGGTAAGGTTACTACTCACAGTACTCGTGTCGAAACACCAAACTCGTCACCTCGAGCGATCTGTATGACTTTCTTCAATCAATATATAATCACATCAACGTCGATCTTATGTTAATTTTCTTGTTTAAGCTAATTCTTAGCTAATTTAGAATACCCAATCCTTGGGGTTTCATGTTTGACTCAAAATTCCTCGAGTTTTTTCTGCCCACACTATGAGTAATTAGTAATCTATCAACTTCAACTTGTTCATATAATTTATTTATCTAATTTTATAAAGTTCTATAGATTTTTCACAATGAAAAATTCTTAAATACGTGAATGAACTAAAATCAGTAGCATTACTTATCTATACTTATCCATAATATTTCTTACTAATGTGTAAATTTTCTTTTTCTTGTGAAATCCTTCAATCATAGAAACGAAATTAAAATTTGCTAGAAGAACTCAAATAAGAAGTTTAAGTATTACTCGTGAGAATCAGTTAATGCTCAAAATTTTCGCAATTTGTATTGCTATGATTCCAACGCACAACTTCAGTTTTTTATTTTCTTTTATTTTTTTATTTTTCTACCTTTGTATTTAATTTGTTATAGCTTCTGTTTCTGCTGAGGCAAAAGGGACGGCCAAATCCCTTATTCTAATTGTTTAGAACCTGATGCCCTTTTGTTTAAGGGCTACGGTCCACCAAGGCTTTCTCTCTCTTTTTTTCTTTTTGGTCTTGTTTTACTTGATTGTTTATTTTTTTTGACCAGTTACTTAAATACTCTTTTTTTTTTTTTAATTTGAGGTGTTACAAAATGATACCAGATAACCATTCTGCTTATTCATAGTTTTACAATGTATTTAAATATTAGGCAATCCGTTCAACCTTTAGGACATGGCGTCCTGAAGTTTGAACCTCATGGCTCAAACTTCAGGTCATCATGTCCTAAAGTTTGAAAATTGTATCTAAAAATTTGAATTTTATGTTCTAAATTTTAAATTGGCTGTTAGAAAATTTAGGACATTTAGTCCTGAATTTCAAATTAGCAGTTTAGAAATTCAGGACTAAGTGTCCTGAATTACAAAGTAACAACTTAAAAATTTAGGACACTAAGTCGTGAATTTTAAATTAGCAACTCAAAAATTAAGGATACAAAAATCAGGATATTTAGTCATGAAGTTTGGGTGACTAATCTTTGAATCCATTGTAAATTTTAAATAGCAAGCTTAAAATTGGCTATTGGTGCACTTCGCCCAAGATTCTAAAAACTGCTTATTTTGAAAAGTATTTTTATCAAATTAAATAGATTTTTAGATAGTTATTTTGGAAAGAAGTTGTTTGTATTTGATCAATTTATTTGAGAAGTACTTTCAGTGGTTGATAAATAGATTGCGTTTGATAAATCTTTTCAAATAGGGTTTGGGGCGATTCTACTGCGAAGTTAAGCTTAACACCAGGCGATTTTAATATAATTTAGGCAAATAATGAACTGAAATTCAAACTCTAAATTGCATTTGAATTCTATGGCTTATAAGTTATAACAACAATTGCTTTCCCGTTTGAGGATGACAGTAGTCCCAAACTGCTAGGAAGATATGACAATTGTCAATTGCTCCAACCCTTAATTTGAAGGCAGATCATAAATGTATCCCATCTGTTGTGGTTACGATTTGGATTCACATACATGTTTTTTAGGGGCATTTGTATCTATACCCGCTTTTTGGATCAGATTTTAACTTATACCCGTTTTGTAAAAAAATTTACAAGCGTACCCACTTTTCGCGTAACTTCAGGCATACGGGCCTGAAGTAGCAAAACTTGTTGAACCAAATGTTGGATGAAGTTTTTTATTTGTAATTGCTGAACTTAAGCATTCTAGTAGCTGGAGTTTTGTTCTCTATTTGCTAAACTTCAGCATGTTTTAGCTGGAATTTTATTCTATATTTGCTGAACTTAGCATGTTTTAGTTGAAGCTTTGTTATGTTTGTGATGAACTTCAGGGCTGAAGTTTGTTTTGTATTTGTTGAACTTCAGCATTCTAGGAGCTGAAGTTTTTGTTTATACTTGCTGAACGTCAGCATTATGCTGAAGTTCTAAAACAACAATGACAAGTTATCATTAAGATCCAGTTGCTATAATGGAATTATCAGAAAATTTGAAAAGCAATACTCCTATAAAACAAGACCATTAGTAAAAGTAACATCTTCACCTAATGCACAGAGAATCAAGTCGTACTTTCATGTTTCAGTAGCAATTAAAATTAGAATTTCCGAACTGGACGGTCCAGAAGCTAATTCCTAGCTGTAAAGAGCTAAATAGCAAATATAAGTTAGGCTAGAACACACAACAATATCTCAATCTTCAGCATTCAGAAAACGAAGGAGGAGAAAGAGGTCTAAAGTTGTTTAAACAGTGGGTACAAGTTAAAACTTTTAAAAAAAGTAGGTAGCGACCAAATAGGGTGAAATTCAAAAATAGTCAGATTTACAACTGGTCGTTCAAAATTAGCCCAGTTTCAAAAGTAATCAAAATTTAGCCACTTTTCATGTAAAGATAAATCTAAACGAAAACACTGTTCAAAACCCAGGAAAATACGCTAGCATATTATGCTGGAGTTCCAGCATAAGTATACTTGAACTCCATCATATTATACTGGAGTTCCAGGATAAGTATGTTGGAACTCCAGCATAATATGATGGAGTTCCAACATAAGTACACTAGAACTCCAGCATAATATACTGGAGTTCCAGCAAGTATACCGGTCCAACATAATATACTGGAGTTTGGAGCACCGGTGCTCCAGTCTCCAGTATATACCGATCCAGCATAATATGCTGGAGTTCATACACAGGTGCACCTAACTCCAGTATATTATGCTGGACCGGTCTCTGTTGCAGCAAAATAATGACTATTTTTCATTGACTTGGTAAATGCTAGCTAATTTTAAATGACCAGTCCGAAAACTGGCTATACCGTGCTATTTTTACGACCAAATAGGGTGCTCGTGCAATTTTTACATGTTTTGACCCGTGTGCTAGAACCTTATGGGCCTGGTCCAAGTCCATTACTTAGAATTACTAGACCAAGTTGTGGATTCTGACAATTCTCTCTTACAACCAAATGGCCGTTGCAATTTAGGTATATGATAATACTTGTGTTCATTATAACATGAAAATTTGAAAGATAAAGATCCTACACTATCGAACGGTAATGACTAATGAAACTATAAGATTCATAACACGTAATGCTATGCCTCAAAACTGGACAATGAAAGACAA